TCCTCCATGTGCCTGGAGACAATGGCCAGTATGAGCCGTTCCATCACTTTTCCGGGGACGGAGGTGAGGCTGACTGGTCTGTAGTTGCCTGGGTCCTCCTTCTTGCCTTTTTTGAAGACTGGCGTGACATTGGCCTTCTTCCAGTCTTCCGGCACCTCCCCCGTTCTCCAGGATCTTTCAAGGATGATGGAGAGCGGCTTAGCTATGACCTCTGCCAGCTCACGCAGGACTCTGGGGTGCATCCCATCAGGGCCCATGGATTTGTGGGTATCGAGGTTCGTTAGGTGCTCTCTGACCCAATCTTCCTCTACCCAGGGCAAGTCTTCCTCTCTACCAGCTTCTTCTCTTGTCTCTAGGGCCTGGGGCTCTAAAGGGCTGCCCTTGGTAAACACCGAAGCAAAGAAGGCATTGAGCAACTCTGCTTTTTCTGTGTTATTTGTAACCAGGGTGCCCATCCCGTCCGCCAGCGGACCCACGTTTTCCCTGATCTTCCTTTTGCTGTTAATGTATTTGAAGAATTGTTTTTTTGTTATTTTTAACGTCCCTTGCCAGCTTGCCTTCCAGACGTGCCTTAGCTTTCCTTGTCGCATCTCTGCGACATTTGAATCATTTAGCTCCTTTTGAATGTCTGCGAGCCCTGGCTACCGGCTGAGTGTGGTAAGGAATGGGGCAGAGCGCGCAGGTGAAGGATGGGGACTGTCAAGGGCAAGAAAATCAAGCTTTAACCAATTCAAGTCAAACTCCACTTTCCATCTCACGCCAGTCACACTTGACCTGCATGACATCCAAGGCTAAAATGTTTCTTAGTTTACTGAGTTTTCAAAGAATTTACCAGGCAATATTTCTAAGACCAAAAATACAGGGAAAATGCACAACGTCTTATGCTGATCAAAAAGAATAGAACCTCTTGTTTCCTGTTTTTTTACCTATGTCACCTTTTAAGAATGCTAGTCATTCAGATGACTCAGAGCAAAAATCAAAACCCTGCCTTCTACAGACTTCACCCAAGACATAAACCACCAACTTTCTTTTCATGCTGTCTGCTGCAATGACCCTTCATGCTCCTCGTGAATTAAACCAGTTCATCAACATCACGGATGATTTCATAGATTGATTTACTGACTCGGCTCCACAGCATTCCTAGTTCCTGCCTATTGGACCCATTTGGAAAGGCTTGGTGCTCTCCAGTTGAATAACCAGCAAATACTACACCCGGACCATATGTCTTTTATTCAAGCATTAGACTGTGTGCAATTAGCTGTGGTCACTGCTGCAGCTCTTTGCCTTGTTTATTACCTAACTGAATGGTAGAATTTGTGACATTGGCCAAATAATTGAATGTCTCATTGCCCCGAGGGGTGTTAATGGACCCATGTGTAGCACTTCACAATCTACAGGCTTGCTGTGGTTATAGGAAAGTCTAACACAACATGGGTCACCTCCGGATCACCACGTATTCTGGTGAGGAAAGGTGTTGGCTCATAAATATTTCAGAGAGTGAGTGTCTCTCCCTGGGGATAGCAGCTATAACACAGAACATTCTTTCATTATAGATTAATGTATGCCAGAACAGATATACTCATATATCTGTGCACACATTAGCCATAGGAAAGCAGAGTGAAACTCTGAAATACATTAAAAAAGCAAACAAATGGATTAGTTTAGTTTAGGAGGGAGGTGGCTGCATTGTTTCATTGGCTGTAGAAGCAGTAAATGTTCATTGCAATAACATGCTTCACTGAGTCTTTAACACACTTTTATACTTGCAGATCAAGTTACCGGTATCTGGAGCAAAATCAGCAGGGTACCTCTATATTAATTCAGAAATGGACCATTCCCATCGCTGGTACGTACTGGGGGAGAGACTGAGAGACTCTTACAGAGACACGGGAGAGAAAAGGTTGAAGAAAACAGAGGAGGGCAGGATATTTGGTTTAGTCATCCGTGTTGCTGAAATCACGCACACAAAGGAAGAGGAAATTCATGTCTGAAGATCTTGTGAAAGGTTATTACCATCATTATGATAAAAATGCAAATCACTTGAGAAATACATTGAATGCATCCCTGTGAGTACTAATGTAAAAACAACTGGGGCCACTTAATTTGTGTGGCATGTTGTGTCCCGTAGATGAAAGCATAGTGGACACGATAATCCCAAGGCAACATAACGCATCGCTGCCCCTCGACCCCCCTCCCCACGGAGGTGCAGAAGCCCTGGAGGAGTGGTCCTGACTAAGCTGTCCTCATGCCCTGCCATAGAAACCTCTCTTTTCAAGGCAAAACTGATTTTTCTAGAACTGAACAAATAACCAGCGTCTGAATTCAAAGTCCACCTTCCATTGCAATCCTCCTCACATTTGCTTGTCCTTGGAGCTTTGGGGACTCTTCCGTTAGCTCTATTTAGAAATCCAAAGCCACAACACTTTGCTCAGCTGCCACCAGCCATATGGTATTGTTTTCTTTTCACAATTAGATAAGCACAACTTACTATTTTCTGTTCAAGAGGTAAGTAGAGTTTAAAATTATGGAAGGCAGGCACTTGTTTGGGACCCAAGAGACTCGGGGCCAGACCCAGCTGTCTCCTGTGTGACCAGGACATGGTCAGGGGCTCTGGACAGCTCTCCTGCAGCCCTGTACTTCCATGGGGCTGTGGGCTGTAGGCTCCTTGCTCCTTGTTAGCTTCCACTGACAGATGGAGGGAAACAACCCCTACTCCTACTTCAGAGTTACAGCAAGCATAGATGAGGACTGAAAGATGTTAAAAAAAATGAAGAATATAAATATCTAGCAGAGCTTTGTTTTAAAATGAACTCTCCAAGCACTCCCATATGCAAGCCTGAAAAGAAAATATATTCTGCAGAAACATTTGTGGCACTCAGGTCTCCCCAGTTTGACTCTCATAGGTACAGGGCCCAACATACAGCTCCGCTCAGTGACAGAGAGGACTTATTCTCCTTGGAAGGAGGAACCAAAAGTAAAATAGATCACTCTCTGCCGCGGTCCATGGAGAGGACCTCCCACAATCTCCACAAGAGGAAGGGCCGGCCTGGAAAAGTGGGACATCTCAGTACAACCCTGCACCAGCACAGACCCAGGAGGCCACAGGACCAATACTGAGGCTCAGTTTCATGTCACTGGCAGTCAGCTTCCTGCACTCAAGTAGTTCAGGCTCCTAAGGCGCTTAACCGCTTTAGGCCATGAGCGAGCGGCCTCTTTACTGGGCTCGTCCTTCCCCTGAAGGTTTGTTAAGAAGAAGCCACCTGAGAAAAGAAGAGCTTGGAGGAGGTGACCTGGCTGGCTGGGAGCACCCGCTCAGGCGCTGGCGGCACGGGGCTGAGGCGCCGTGTGGCCCATGGCACTCGTGGCTCCCCACCACCACTGTGAGCGTGGGCACGAAGGGGGAATGGGGGGAACCAAGAGCCTGGGCCGCACTGAGGAGCGTCACTGGCCGCACTTCCTGGCCCACAGAGCTGCTGTGCACGTCCGTGTGGAAGGGCCGCACGGCCCCAGAACAGGATCCCCAAGGCCGGGCCATTCTTTGGCAAACGCAGTGCGGATCCGTGGCAGAGCGGGGTGAGGCAAGGAAAGCACTGGCAGGATGGAGGAGGAGAAAGGCACAGGGCTGGGGCCAGAGGGGAAGTCCTCTCTAAAAATAACCCTCAGAATTTTATTTGGGTTGCAACAAATAGCAACACGTGGCCCAGATTTTTTAAGTCTGGGCTGTGGGAAGCCAGTAAGGAAAAGAGCTGTTAGGAATTGGTGCTTGCAAAGCAGGTTTTAACACACTTGAGAGCATTTTAAAGAGCAGTGAGGGCATGGAGGAGGTTCTTCCTCCATGCCAGCTGCTTTTAGACCCACCTTTACTTCTATATTAAAACTGACTGAAGCTCTTCTGGTTTGTGGCAGCTGGTGCCTCCAGGATGTCACCTTGAAGCTCCAGGATGGCGAGAGTATTCCTGTTTACCACTCCCCTGCGGAAAGCATCGGCACACAAGAAAGCTAAAAACTGAAGGCAGCTGCTTGCCCGCCTCTCACCGACCCGGAGGGGCCATTAATCGATCGCATCGCGCTGCCTACATGGACAGGCTCTGTTGTCTCAGACAACTTCACTTAAGCAGGTGCTCTGAAGGAAGTTTTCTCCCTCGCACTAACCTCATCATGGCCATAATTGCCATTTCTTTGGTTTGCCGGTTTATTTCTGTGTGCAGCAGAAGCCTAAAATAAAGATTTTGCAACAAGAGCTGCTGTTCCAGAAAAGTCATGTGTTATGGCTTGTACACACTGGTTATGTGAATCGCGTTTGAAATTAATAAACAAACTGCCAGGAAACTGAGGTGTTCTGAAGCTGCAGACCTCAGGCTGGGCAACTGGATTGTGCTCTCACAACTAGAAAACTAAAATCAGCTTTTCAAAGCGATTCCCACGCTCTGCTGTTTTCTACCATTTTCCAACACGGTGTTACCTAACGGAGAACTACCCAAAGCAAGATCCCCCTCTTGTGCACGAAAAAAGGGCACATGCCAGGTAGATGTGCACCTTCACACGTGTCTTTAAGAGGATCAGAAACACCGGGACCACTCTTCCTAGCTTATGAACTCCAGGAGTTTCTCAGTGCTCCCACTGTTTATGCTAAAAGTTGTGCAGGATAGGCCAGTGCTTCCTGTAAGCACTGGCAAACACCTGCATTCCCTCATTTCTGTTTCAGGGAAAAAGCACTAGATAGGTACAGTATGGGTAAAATACTGACAGGGTTCAGTCGGACTACAACAAGAGATTTTTAATTTTTGCTGTGATTTTGTCAATACAGCCGATCCACCAACAAAGAGTTGTCCATCACCAGAAGCAAGCCAAGCAAAAAGGAAATAAAAGTCCAAGAAACTGCACAATCTGGCGAACCATAAAAGCAAGGTGAAGTCTGAGACAAGTTTCTGGCCTACCTTCATACATTAACATGCAATGCGAATGACGAGCCACTAAGAGCGTCCAGAAAGGGAATTGTTACTGTGAACTACTGCAACTGGCAGAGCTTTTACCGGCTTAAACAAGATGTACCTTGTGAAGGCTCAGAGTTTACACCAATCAACTCCAGTTTTATTCCATCTCAGCATCCAAATAGGAGTCCTAGAAATGCACTAAGGGCACAGGAGTGCAAAGCCTTTCACCGGTAATGAACAGGGGATGAACAAAGGAGAGTGAGTGCAATGGTCTGTTACAGACCACCACGCTTTCTCCTGCTCTGCGGCGATCCTCTAAACTAGGTCAAGTGACTTCTTAAGTATAAATGATTGCAGGGCCCCTGCCAAAGACAGCCAAGGAAAGGACTGGTGTCCCGGCAAAGACTGATGCTAGAAAGAGGTTTAGTTGGGGATTCGCCAAACGCTGTGCACGCTGCGTGCTGCCTGCGCAACCTGATCCTGCCCGTGTGTGCCCTGCACACCAGGGGAGGGATTAGGGTGAGTCGCGGCAAGACAGGGTGACCCAGCTTTAAGATGGCAATTGCTGCTATAAGGTTTCACAACAAAATGTGAAGCTTGAGGCTTAAAAGCCTTATCCCCGCGCTGTGACAGCCCACCTTGCAAACAAGCTGCCTGAGGGGCTGGGGAAGCCTCCAAGCTGCTGCTGATCAATGGGTTTGGCAGGGAAGCAAAGCTGAGGAGGGAAAGCCAAAGCAACCGCATCACACCCGTCCCTTATCACTTCTCTCGCTGCAGCAGTCGCTCTTATCAGGCTCCTGGGAAGCAGCAGCTTTTGGGAGCGTTGGTTCTGCTGCAGTGCCAGCCTATTTAGTGCCTCCCCATTTCCATACCATGAATGTACAGACCTGGCCCATACCACAGGTCACCTTCAGTTTGTCACCACCATGCCCTTTGTTAGCCTGGGATTTCCTGAGGTCGGGCAGTGCGCAAATGTCAAGGAAACCATCCAGCAACCTGACAGTGGGATGGAGCTGCCTCACCAGCAACCTGTGTCTCGGGCAGACACCTGCAATATCCCAAGCCTGGCTTCAGGACCACACCGAGCCACAACTCGGCCTGGCTCTCACTCTTGGCCAACCTGGGCCTGAAGGAAATGTCCCCGCACAAACCTTCCTAGAAAACAGAGCGGGGTTATTCTCTTGCTTTGGGGAAGCAGAGGTTATGAACGGGCTGTTTTGTTCCCTGCCAGGAGCATTGCGGGGTCCACCTTTAGCCTCAGCCATTTACAAATGTGTCACTTCCCTCATCAGCATCCCTACAAACCCTGGCTCTGAAAGGAAGAAAGATTTGGATGGAGCTAGAGACCAGCAGAAGGGGAGTGGGGCAAGAGAAAAAGGAAAATGGCCATTGCTTATTTACGTTAAAATCCCTACATTTACTTTATGCATCTACCAGGAAACAAAAACTTTCCTACCTCATGACCTTGAAGAGCCTCAGCAGCCACTTCCTCCCCACATCTGAGCTGTGTTAAGATATACACATGCAAAGTATTTATTTATTTATTTATTTATTAAAAAGGCTCCCCTCAGGCATATTGTGGCGGGGATGCAGGTGCAGCGTGTGCAGCCAAGGAGGCTGACCTCTAAACCGGCAGCAGCTGCTGAAAACCCAGTTTCAAGAAGGCTCCTGGGCACCCTCCTGGCCACAGCAGAGGACCCTGCGCTTGGCTTCTTCTAATTTGCCTGTCGTAATTACATTGTGCTGCGTGTGGCTGAAGCCCACGATTCTGGGTAACCATTTCATTGCATTTTGGAAACATTCCCTGCTCAAGCAGGGTCACCTGGAGCAGGTTGCTCAGGGCTGGACTCTGCAGGCTCTCTGGGCAACCAGCTCCAGTGTTTGACCAGCCTTAGAGTGAAAAAGTTCTTTTCTTACATTTAAACAGAATTTCCTGGGTTTTTGCTTGTCTTTTTTTCACTTTTCATCATTTTCCTCTCATCTTCTTTCTTCTTTGCCTTCCTTCCTGCTGCCCACTATGTATTGATTGATGCACAGATGAGATCTCCCTGAGCCCTCTTCTCAGGGCTGAGCAAGCCCAGCTCTCTCAGTCTCCCCTTGTATGACAGGTGCTCCAATCCCTTAATCACCTTAATCACTTAAGTATATCCATTTATTTTAAGTTCCCTTGAAACTTTCCATAGCCCCTTTTGCATTTGTTGGTTAGGTTAAAACAATTGGCATCTCTGTGGCATTTGCTGGATTGTGGATCTGATTTTCTTACTCTAAAGCTTGACTGTAATAGCTTTTGTCATACAGTCATTGGCCTGAAGAAAGTTGTCCCTAAAGGAGACCAGTGGGGCAAGAACCAGATTTACAAACTTGCATGGAGCAAACGAGCCAGCTGGATTTCACTGGTAGCAACTGGTGATCTCTCAAGGGTTTCAATTTTCTTGCAGGGGGTTGGTAAAAGGCCCCCGCATGACTCAGTCTATTAGTGTTATGTCTGTTTATGTTGTGACTTTCCCCACAGGAAGTCACAGCAGCCAAATCCCGGATACAGGTTTTGGAGGGATATTGGAGTTTCACTGCTACAGAGCGCACGGCTCCATGTGCTTTGTTATAATTAGGTGAATTTGCATCCGCTCCAGCACACTCTCACCCCAAGCTACGTGGCCCCCATTGACATGTAATTGTCACCTTTCCAGCCACATACCTTCAGCCCAAATGGTTTCCTCCTGCCAGACACATGTGAAATAATGGTCTTGAATTTAATGGCAACGCATTTCAAGGACACACCAAGGGACCACAAACAAACCAGGAACATCTACATGAGTAATATGACTATATTTATTAATCCCAATGACATCTTATTTCAACATCAGTAAGTGTTGCATCGGGAAGCTCTCTACAATGCAAACAACAAGGATTGCTTTAAAGTGGAAAGGCTTGTTGGCGCATCTTGGGAAGCCAGTACAAATCGAACAAATGCGCGCTTCAGAAAACTAAAATATCAGCAATCTTGTTAGAGGGATGTTGAGAAAAATACAAAAGTTCTTGGAGAGAGGCAAGGGCATGTAATGAAGAGACCCCGTGTAACATACACATTGCCCCCGGCTCTGGCAACGCCAGCTGGGCTCTTACTCACAGGCAGAGGGGAAGTTAGGTCCACAGGCACCAAAAACAGATGAGAATTGGTTTTAGAAGTGCTGTTGCTCCCAGGGCACCACTGCACTTGCCTTAACACTGACTGGTAACTGTACAGGTGTTTTGCTTCAGACAAGCTAGCACAGATTTTGGAATTGTTTCAAACCAGCAAGTGCTGATTTTAAGTTTCTTTTTTTGTTCTTTAACTCATTTTTTAAAAAAATATTTTCCCAAAGAACTACTAAAAGAAACTTTGCAAGGGCCCATCTGCTGTTCAAGATGACAGCTGCAGTTACTGCAAAGCTTCTGAAGCAGCAAATGACTGATGGACACGGAGCGAGCAACTCCTACCTTCCAAGAGGAGTTCCTGGAGCATCCTAAGAGGGAGACCTGAGCCACAGGATGAAGCGCCCAAGCCCCGTCTCCCCCCGCCCTCTTCTAGCACCACGAGCAGCCAAGGGGCAGTTACTTCTTGTTGAGGTTTCCTAGCTGAGCAGTGGTAGGCGCCACGCTGGCCTTCGGGTGCGTGTGTTTGCTGCTCGCACCAGCGGCTGCCAGGGAGACGCAGCTCTGCGCCTTGCGGCCCGTCCAACCCTCCATGGGGGGAAGCTTGCGGAGGCGGGCGCCGGTGGGTGCATTTCCGAGCCCTGGAGCTGACGCTTCCCCAGCAAGCGAGGCGCTTCCCTCCCGCACAAGCGAGCGGTGGCCTCGCTCCCGGCCCCGCTCCCGGCCCTGCGGAGGGCGGCTGCTCCCTCCCCCAGAGCCCAGGAGCTCATTCCGTCGCTCCCTCCCCACCAGGCGCCGTCAGGGAGCTGTGGGGCCCGCTGTTCTTCTCGCGGCAGGAACGCGTCCTCCGTGCCAACAGATCCCCGGCACTAACTGAAGCTCTCAGAAAGAGCAGCCCCAGCAGGTGCTTTCCACAGCGCAAAGATCCACATCCTCCACACGGAGGGTGCGGAGAGCTTGCACCATTAGCCTCACTTTGAGCGGATCAGAAAGAGCTTCCAACGCGGGAGGAATAGGCTGGCAGTCCTGCAGGAATACATTACAGCAACCCTTTTTCTGTGTCATAGGGCCAATTTAAGATGTCCTGCTTATAGCCTATACTACCGAACTTTCACAACTTTACGCAAATTCTTAATGACATTAAAAACACGGTTAAAACATCTTAAAGCACAAAAAGTTAAATGAAACTGCAGTACACAGGGAATCTTAAAGCAGCCAACTTGGAGGAAGGTGGCCTTGTAACGAGAACACTCTTCATCTACACGCGTTAAGCTTCACTGTTGTATAGAACAAAGAGTAAATATAGGACCGAACGTTATGATGCTCACCGGCTGCTCTTGTTCGGTGCTACCAAGCCATGTACCTAACCATACAGAGGAATTAAAACAGCTTACAGACCCATTTAATAATTTGCCACGAGCAACCCTGCGCTCCCAGTATGACTTAGTCACCCAGATAGAGCAGCATAAACTTGTGTTCCGTAAATGTGGAACGCGGCACATTTCAGCCTCGGTGCTTTGCGCAGCTCTGAGTGCAAGGAAGTTCACGTGTGGAGAAACGAGTCAAACCTTCTCCAGCTTCAGTCGCTCCAAATTTAACCGGCCTGCAGAGGTTTGTGCAGCCTGAACGGCTCCTCCTGGGCGCGCGCGCGAGCAGCCAGAGGAAGAGGCTGGTGGCGCCGGCCTGCTCGGCACCGCGGGCACAAACGCGCGCATGAGGCAGCACCTGCTCCTCGCCGTGTCAAGGCCCGCGCCGCAACCACGCTGTGGGCTCAGAAATCCCTGCTTCGTTCCTATTATTTGCCAACCACAGTTAGCCAAAGAAATCTTTCCTGGAATGAGTCTACCTGGTTCCTGGCTACGGGAAGGCAAAAAACAAACAAACAAACGAAGCCCACAGCCAGTGACTAATTTCTCCACAAGTACTACGGGCATCTCCACGTTACAATAATCCAAGCGGAACTATCCGAGCACTACTGGCGGTTTTCTTATACAAAAGGTCCTTGTGGTGTGCGCTGTCTCTACCTACACCTATTTTGCTATGTGGGTCAATAGCAGAAATGCCGAAGGAACTGTTTAATTTGGGCACATTTCTTTCTGATGTGGTCTCAAATGAAGGCAAACAGGCCTCCAGCAGTGAAGCACCATGGAAAAAATGCACAACCCCTCACACAACATCCTGCTATTTTCTTTCAGTGTCTTTACTAATGATTTCTCCTCCCCATATAGCAATACTGACCAGATCACCCCAACACTGTTTGTGTTATTAATAAGCCATTTACCTTGTGTGAAGGAGGAACTGTAACAGCAGCTCTGATCACTAAACTCCTGCTCATTAGAAAGAGTAAGAACATTCCTAGTACATGTTTGACATTAGGAAAGAGTCTATTGCAACACGAGCAAAAAAAATAAAGAGAGAAACTAACTTAAGAATTTCTGTTCATTGTTTTATAGCAAGAAAACATTTGTCAGGGTTTATTATAAAGAAACAGCGTAAGGAAACCAAATAAATAGTTGAACAGTTAACAGTATGCAATATAATAGCACTAAACTTCAATTACATAAAAATTAAACTTTGGAACAGCATCAATATGAAAGATTTCTTAGAAAACTAGGACTCCATCCAAGAGCCTCAGATCTGTACATGGCAAAAAAACAGTTTTGATGCCCAGGTGGTTCCTGCTTCATCCTCTAATGGGGGACCCTGTCCATGGAGAACCATCCATGCAGCGCCCTAACCCCTCTCAGCCCAGCCCTACAGACCCTGTTTTACCCAAGTCTGCACAAGGCACTTCATTACCTGGGGGAAGGGCTATCTTTTCCTCAGCTGACAGCGACACTGAGCAGGGTTATGCAGCTCAGCCTCAGGATGCTCCTTTGCTCTTAAAGCCACTGTTAGAAGACAAAGAAGTCAGCAATGAGCTCTGGCTCAGGGCAGGGCAGGGGAAGGGGGATGCTGCCCTCAGGGCCTGATTTAGCAGCAGCTAGACCAGCATTTTGAAGCCAGTGGAGAGAACGTCACTAACTTGAGCAGAGCTACCTCATGCCTTGTATCATTTTTCCCCTCTCATCACCACACTCTGTGCAGTCACACAGAGCTGGGTTTTATTTGGGCATCTAGCCCAGCACAGGAGAAGGGAGCAGTCTCTCCTCCTCCTCACGAGTGGCCTATTGATGACAACTTGTCACCCTCCACGCCAGGGTGTTACTGTGCTCCCAGACCATGGATTTGCTCGCCGGTGGGCTAAGCTCTCCTGCTGATAAACCCAGCCCGCAGCTGGCCTGGCTCCAAGGCCGGGCAGCCTGGGTCTCTGCCCTGGCATAAACTCAAGGAAATATGTACATAGCATAGCTTCCAAACCTGCAGGCTGAGCCAGCCAGATTTGCTCCTGTACAACTGTTAGATCAGTAGAGAGTTCCACTGAAGTCAGGTGTGATAAAAGGTGTTTGAAGAAAACCCAGCATTATATATGTGCATTAAATGGCAAAATACATCCTAAACAAACAAACAAACAAACAAACTCCCCTTTTGGCCATTTGTCACTGAAATGCTCCTTCTCATGTCAACTTCTCCAGAACGCTGGAACAATTAACAGACTGCTATCCAGAGACAAAAATCAGAAAGAAAAACGCAAACAAAAATAAGTTTTTATCCTTGTTAAGTTCCTGTCAGCCACCTGCAACCTTGTTTAACTGTTCCACAAAATTAAAAGCTTGGCACATTTTCCTTAGTTGCCATTTCTGAATGTTTTTGTTTATCTAGAACATCTATTGCATATCAGAGATTCCCTTGGCTAAGATATTTGTTGCTTAGTAGAAACTCCTGCCTTTCAGTTATAGCTATAAAACTCCACAAAGTTCAGTAAATGAATTCTCCTGGTAACTCCTGCAGCAAAGGTTCCTCAAATTTAAATCGTTTGGAAATGGCTTTTTGCTCAGTTACTTTTTCCTTCTCTGACTGCCTACATTGTCCCAGCGTGTATGATGCCACTACAATTAGTTCTTCCGTCACGATGGATTCTTCCTCTTCAGTTTTCTCAACATCTACACATTTCCCAGAGGCAGAATCTGCCTCTCCCTGGACATCGCTGCTCTCCTCCCCTGTACTCTTGCTCCAGACCCTGTGAGCAGGATTATCGCTTTGCTGCAGCCAGGGATGTTGAAGACACTCTTCAGCAGTTGCCCGCTCCCTGTGCAGGAAGGGAAGTGTTAAAAAGAAATGTTAAAGTAAATTTGAAATCTAACATTTTGACTAAGAAATCCATACAAATCATTCCACTATGCACTAAACACTCAGTGATGCAAGCTTGTGCTGATTCCTATTTTTTGCCAGAAAAAAACCAGCAGCAATCCGGGAAATAAGTTTTTTAAACAACCAGATTAGGAGAACCTCAATAATTGTATATAGATACAATATATATAAATTATCCAATCCTTGCATTCTTCAAATATCTCCACGGAGAAACAGCAAGCACCTTCAGTAGCTGACAAGTCCCCTGAACAACTGATTCTACAGATAACATATCTTCTGGTTTGAAAGATGCAATTTCCAGTTTGCCTCCCACTGAGGGAAACACAGTAGGGGACCAGAAGGGAGCAATGTACTTCTCCAAATCATCAGGACAAGAAGGCTCAAAGTACAGCTCATTTACAAATGCTACCAGCAGTGTGCACATAAGAGTTTACTGCACCACAAATTTTACTTTATTAATGATTTTCCAAAATGAATTAGTTAGAATTACTAACATGTAGGTACATTCAGAACGTACAAGTTTGGAGGGAAATTGAGAACTTCTCTAGTTGTATACCTAAAAATACATAGGACATAATGAAAAGTGAATAAGCCAAGTATCCATATACTTTATAAATCAAAAGGAAAGTGAAAGCAATAAATATATTTAAAAATCAATCCAACTGATGCATTAGGGTATAGAATGTACATTTTACTTACTCGGGCTTTTTAACCAGCAGTGTTTTGATGAAATCCACAGCAGACTCTGATATGAGGTCAAAGTCTTCTCCAGAGTAACTGATGTTCATCTGAGATATATTTAAGAATGTTTCTTGCTTATCGTCCCCTAAGAATGGCGATATCCCTGTTAACATGACATATGCCAGTACTCCAATGCTCCTAAATTAAAAACAGAAAATGGAAAAAGCAGATAATTCAACAAACAAAACCCCAAAACACTTTCAAGTTATGATGCCATTGATTTTTTTCAACTTACCACATGTCTGTTGCTGTACTGATTGGGTCATAACTCAGAATTTCAGGAGCTGTTCAGAGGAAAAAAAGTGGGTTTTTTTGTCATATGCAGTCATCACATTGTGTGGTTATGTAGTGCAATAACAGCCATGTGGTATTATTTAATAATACAAGCCATCTGGAGCACGGCAGCCAGTTGAAATAAAGATATTTCTGTTCAAGTTATTTAAAAAGTTACTGTCATTTGTTGATTTAAAGTTATTTCTATTCTTACGTTTCACTGTCAACTTTAGAAGACCAGACCAATCTCTTCCTCAGCTAAGGAAACCCTACCAAAATTTCTTATGGAAATAAAGTTTCCATATCTATCATTCCATATCCCAGCAGTGAAACCCACACAGAATACAACACACAACTTCAGAGGTATCTTCAAGTACTTCTTCAAGATCTGGCATGATTTGTTTTCCTCCTCTTGAAAAAATTTAAACGGATGCACATTTTAGCCTACCAGGGCTAAAAGACTGTACTTAGTAAAAGGCAGAATACTTATTTTTCAACCTTTAATCTATGTAATATTTGTTATTACTGTTGGCCAGCTATCTACATTACGTACTCATCTGTAACACGGGGCACAATTACCACTCACGAGCCTGCCACGTCACTTCCAGCTTTACAGCAGGGCCATATGCAATAACACCTGAGTGCTTTAACACAGGAGCAACTCATCCAGCTTGGCTCTGAGCAAATCTGGAGGTAGTTTTTCAATCTCAGCTTCCCTCAAGCTTACGTAGTTCAGTCCTCACGACATCACTGTTTTAGTGAAAACTTACCTACATATTCCGGAGTTCCCATAATTTCTCTTAGTTCCTCACTGCTCTTCATTATTCTGGAAAGACCAAAGTCAACTATCTTTATGTCACCCAGAGGAGATTTACTGGTTAGTAGAATATTCTGGGGCTGAAAAACAAAACAAGCCGACTTTCAAGATCACCCAGGCCCAATGTGACAGCACGATGTTGCATAATTACATTCAATTGTACGTAGCAATGAGGTACTCTCTAACATGTACAACACTCGGGATTTGCTCGTCCAGGATGGACCTGAACAGACATGCAGGCTGGGAGGAGTGGCACGATTTTAAGTTTATGACAGAGAATCAAGAGTCTGCCTTTCTTAGTTTACCACACATACACAAAAGAAACAGCCAGTAGTTATAATTTAACATCTGCATGTGAAGCCCTCCATTCTGCACTTTACTCCTTCGTGCCAACTTTCTCCCCTGCTCTTCGTGCTTCCTTCCAATACAGGGTGGAAAATTCCTCTTCTTGAAGGATCTTCAAAAACTACTTAATAATGTAAAACCAAAACAAGAAACCACAGAACACATGGAACTCCTTTGACTACACCTGTTTACAGAAAGTCTGTTGCAACTGACTTCAATCTTGTTCAAAGTATGAACAATCGTATTATAGAACCCTAACTGCAGAACAGTTTTAAAAAATACAGCAACCTGAAAAACAGGTTTAAGAGCATCACCTTTGGATAAACTTGTTTGCTTTGACGTCACTAGATTCTGGCTGTCATTCTTCAAAGCTGACTTTGTGGCCATGAAGTGCCTTACCTTTTATTTCGTGTGCTCCCTTAGTTAAAATACCTACGAAGGCCAACCTTAAGTAGCATCTTTTACAGAGTTTGCAATCAAAGCACGTTGGTGGGGGACAGAAATATCCCTGCCACCCCAGAGGTCATTTTTCCACATTGGGTTTCACCATTAACTTTCCCCAAAGACACGATGGACCTTCTGGTCCCTGGTCAGCCAGACTTCTGCGATGAAACTTTTATTTATTGAGACACTGGATCATCTGGTATCAGAGATCTTTGAGAAGGAAGGGGAACAAACGGCTGCTGGCTGATAACCCAACTGAATGAACACCGTCCACACTCACTTCTTCCCCAATCACTGGGCCATCCCTTCCTCATTCCCTAGATTTCACACCGATAGCTTTGCTTTTGATCACAGAAACAGAACTGTAAAAAGAACATTTAAAAAACCTTGGCCAGTTCTTGTGGCAAGACCTAAATATAACTAAATGCTTTAATTTCTGAGAAGTTAAGCTACTGGTATTTAAAATTTGATGAAACAACTGCCAATCTATTTGCGAATGTATGTATTAAGAACAGCTTATTTTTTTGATTACAGACTGGGATCTGGCTGCCATACAAAAACCTTTTGGAACTACACATTACCATATGCTTTACAGTTCACATTTGGCATTCTCTATTTGTATTAGAAAAGCAAACATTTAAAAAGCTGCTCATGCCTCCGTCATTAGCCTCTCCGATGCACTTCCCAATAGGAAATTTAGTTTGTGAAAACACAAATAGAAAGCATGAGAAAAGCACTCATTCCCTATGCTTGAATCAAGAAAGTTTTTAATGAAACATTCCATAAAATCCACAAGACCTATGTTGAAATAATTGGTATTTCAGTAGCTGACATACTTGCCAAAAAAGTTTTTATTGTGTGCTTTTTTCTTTAACTCTCATCACCCACAACACATGTATGCCAAAAAAAAGCCCACGTCTAGGCCAAGCTAAGTCTAATCCTAATTCATACTGAACCATCAGTCACGTTTTCCTTAGTTGTACCTCTGGCAACATATAAATTGCTATATTTTAATGTGGTAAACATCCATCCTGCATCCACTTGGAATATTCAGCTGAGAAAATTAGCCTGTAACATGCTTCGTAGCAGCCACTTCCTTAGTAATTGCATTTATTTACTTTCTGAATAGTGGCATGAGCACCATCCCTCACATAGGGATTCTGCTCGCTGTCCTCGCTGTACATCATATTTTGAAAACAACACAGAAGGAGGGAAACTAGCCCACTGGATAACCAGACCAATATATGCCATAAGAATATCTACCTGGTGCACACTCATTCCCTCCCTGATTCAGCTGAATGCGTTTTACTCAACCCCATGGTATGTGAGAGGCAGCGAGTCCTCCCTTACAGGAGGGCTCACTCCTTACAGCAGGACCACTGCCCCCTCCTCTCCCTTTTTTATTTTTACTTTCTTCCATTCCTAATCACCTGAAGATCAAGTCAAACAGCCAAAGAAAACAAAGGAAGAGAGTCTCCCTTACTCTGCAGCTTTTATGCACCACTGAGAGGAGATGAAAGACTCAGCAACGGAGTGCATGCACACTGTGCAAATTAAGTAGAACTAACACAGCACTGTTGAATGATACTTAGTTTGCACTCAGAAGCATTATATTCACTCCTTCTCCAAACTGAAACTAGGTGATTGCATTTTGCCATTAAAAACAAGTCAGGTTGCAAACAGCTTTCAGGAGATCCACCCTTTTGGAAAAAAACAGGCGGCAACTCTGATAGGCCAAGTCAAAAAAGTGTTTTTTACTCCCCTATAGAATATAGTGCTCAGTCTCACAGGAAAGATCTTGCAGCTGATACAGGGTCAGACAGTAGCCAAAGCAAGAGAGCTGTTAGTGCCATTGCTCCAGTTCATTATATTTTTTATATAATTCTAACATGACAAGCTTTTAAACAGTAACAACTACAATCACACACTGACAACTGTTTTGACTTTTAATTCTTCTGGGTAGAGTCTGATCTTATCCGAAGGCGTCACAGAAAGAACTGGAGGGACCGTTCTAAAGGTCTTTGTACAAGACAAATGAAAGAGAAGCCTTATATTTAGAGATCCCCAAATAAGACAACTACTGTAGCATAAGGGAAGCATTTTAGCACATATTTGTGAACTTTGATACTGGCTGACACACTGCTTGCTAGGAATACACTTCATGCAAGCGATCCAAACATTTATCTGCAGAGCAAAGTCTATTTACTTTAAAATTATCCTTTGAAATATGGGCCATTTTTCCTGTCTTCCAAGGCATGCAGATCAATCCTCAAATCCTCAAAACAGCCATAGCTTTTAACCCTACAGATTTAATCATCTTTATTTGCTAATATGCTGAAGAGTTCCCTATATCTTGTTTTGCAAAAGACCAACAGTCTTTTACATTGCAAAGTACACCATGCTGTAAACAGGACTCATTAAAGCCATTTTATTAAAAAAAAAAAAAAAGCCAAATTGCACATGTTGCACTAATGTATAAACATATGAACACTCAAGCATTTGAGAAATTAATTTGCTTTGCTAATTATGTAGTTATGAGTCAATAAAATAACGCTGGATCTTTCAATCAGCGAGAACCAAAGATGCTCTATTTCATAACATTAACTTTCTGATTTGTCAGAAAGCTTAAGCAAACTTGTGCTTAGCTTCGAATAAGCTACCTGTGTGCAAGTCATAATCAGCATCCCCAGTCTACTTTTCTCATTAAGTAAAAGGTGTAGACAAATAAAGCACAATGCATTGCTGATTGCAGAAACCCAACTGGTGTTATGTTAAGTAACACCACACATTTAACTACAAAAGCTATGAATATATACTGTCCACAAGTACATGTCTTAATTTTATATAATTTGCTTCAAGGAAATTTAATGGAAATTTTTTGGCCAGATGTAGTACATGTAGAGACAAAGTGGAGGTACCACATATCTTGCATAAGCGAAGTGGAACCTTAAGGGATTCTAACTGCTCTTGTTTTTAATCCTTTTAAATCTTTATTCTCACATTACTTGCTAGAAATTTCCCCTTAGTTCTTTAGAAATGTAAGAAAATATTAGAAAATTTGGAATGGAAGGCAGGTTTTATGTTGCCATGCTTAGTCATAGTAATATAGCTCAACCTCAAAGCTGAGATACAGCTGGAAGCTGAGGGAAAATAATTAACACTTGCTACCAAAATATGACTAATCATCTTCTGCATTGCTGTTATAGCTCTCAGACATACATAATACTCTGAATTTCTTATAGCGCTAAATCAATTGTTCCCTTATTTTCATCAAAACTATTACTCACTAAGAAAAAAAATTATATTGCACTTTAAGAAAGCCCAGGTCTCAGCTAAAGTACTCATTCCCAAATTAAGAAGTAATCAAAATTTGCTTTCAAATTAATAACATACAATTCAGTTGATGTAAGTTTGATACGCTCATATCAACCCATCAAAATCCCAGTAACTTTAATGTGTACTGCATCTCCAAAGGCAGAATTTTACTGTTTGAGGAACAGCCAGTTTAAAAGTGTTAATTATAAATTAGCATAACATAAGATCAGTAAGTCAGCATTTGACTGAAGAAAATCATGAGAAAAATACCGCAACAGTCTTACCTTTAAGTCGAGATGAACCACATTGTTTCTGTGTAAGAACGAAACTCCTTCTAAAATTTGCTTCATAAGTCGTTTAACATCTTTCTCTTTGAAGGCTTCCTCCCTTTCAGCCACACACTGGTCAAAAATTTCACCTCCAGCAGCACTATGGAACAATGTCTTTATTATTTCAAAGAATAAGCAATAGGCCTTTTTTGTTCTACAAACACTTATTTAGAATAAACAAATCAAGATCAGCAGGTGGTAATGCCCCGTAGTGGATTTTTGTCCAATTATTAAACATTCGGCAAACCTTTATAGTCTAGGAACTCTTGACAACTTCCATGAAGTAGGGCAGACTTGGTGAAAAAAATCTCTCAATTAAATTAGAGAATATGAAAGTTATGAAAGTTAAGTATGATACTACAAAAAGTTATGGGGCTCTTTTGGAGAGATCAGCATTCATCTCAAAGCATGATCTTTAGGACAATGTTTACATCAAAGATTTGTTTTTTGCCATTCCTATGGAAGAGAAAAAAATGTAATTTGACCAAGACAGGTTTTTGTTCCTATCACCCTTCCCGGAACACAACTTGGATATACTCAGAAAGACTAAGTAAAGTTTATAATGTGACTGACATGTTTGTGAAGTCTCTGGTATATAAGGATGCATAAAGTTTAAGTGGATTCCATCTAAAAATGCTTCTGAGAATTTAGCACTCGAAGTTTGGTTTCTTATCTTTATGTGTTTAAATAAATAATATATAAAAAGCTACAACAAAGAAATAAACAGAATATTTTTAAAGCACTCCAAAGTCATATGTAGCACCATCTCTGTATAGCAATGACTTAAGAACTCAATGTTTCACATGACTGTATGGCATTAGTAAGATGAGCAAAGTAGACACACAACCTTGAAACAAGAATGGGCATAAAAACATTAGAATGGGGCCATTTTGTACACTTGATTGCTGAATTATTACTTATCAAAGCATAAATAAAATTAACATGCACATAACTTCTGTTTCACATGAAATCCTATAGTCATTCCCTAGTGAAAGATGGTGAAAACCCTAGGGACAGTATCTTCTTCACTTGCTTCAGTTGTGCCACGCCAAATTCGACTTCCCACAAACATTAAACCTTATTGATGTGCACCAACCTATTTCAGGTCTTTGTTTGTTAATTTTTATTAAACTAGACTAGCTAGATCATCAAGAAAGATGACAGACATATTCAAAGATGCAACGAGACAGTGCTTCATGAATGGTGCACCTGCATTATATGCCTCCAGAAAAGAGCACTTAGGTACACTAAGAATTTTCATTATTCCAAAATCAACTTTGCTACTATAGTTTAAGCACCTTAAAAAGCCTCATAGTTTAAGCACCTTAAAAAGCCTCATAGTTTAAGCACCTTAAAAAGCCTCATGATATACAAAAGCTTCCTTTGCTTTAACAAATAGTCTCATTACCATTATTTGAAATTTTCCTGTAGATGACCTTGTAAGAACAGAAATTTAGAAATCGGTTCTGTTTCAAGTTTTTTTTATATATTTCTATTTCTTTAAATATATATATATATTTATTTAATTGGAAAGGATTCAGATATCAGAGACTTTTTAAAAAGGCACACTGGGTATTATGTTCTAATATTCTAGAACAAATTCATATAAAAATAAACATCAGTAGGATCAAGATAGGGATAGAAAAGTGACCACTGTAATTAACAGAGGAAAAAAAATTGAGTCTTTTTCAAGAACGCCATAATATGTCACTAGGAATAATAATATAACCCCATGTAGCAGCAAGTTGTAATTCACATATGGTGCCAAAACATACTAGCAAAATTATCAGCATAGACCTATTTTACACCAACATGATTATTTTTCCAGTATAGTACTTAATTTATATATATATGTACACATGCATATATACACATACATATACATGAAATAAATCATACTTCATTTTTAAAAGACACAGCTGAAAAAAATAAATCAAAGGGGAGACTTAAGCCCTTTGTCTACTATATGTCTGCTCAGTAGACATATAATAAAGTTATGCTAATAGCCAATTAAAACACTGAGGTTCACTGAAGAACACTAAGCTAAAGCATACACTCTAGAATTTTAATACTACACATCAAGAACCTTGGATTACATTTGTTAAAAGCCAAGGCAATAAAAGTTGAAGCAGGCATTGTCTCATGACTGAAATGGAGAGACAGCTCTGGCATACGAGAGGAAGAAAAAAAACGGATCCATAAAAGGTTTTTTTTTTTTTTTTTCCTCTCCAAATAGGAATTTAAGTAACTTGGAGGATGCCTAGGTTCATCAGCATCTTTAAGAGAGACCGCACCTTCCAGAAATAAACACCCACTTAATGGCTTTTAAAACATGGCCCCTCACACCCACCATGGAGATTGGTATGCTTAGCTTTACAAAAGAAGTTTCATGTGAATTGATGGTTTGATAGGGAACGCTTCATTTTTATATCAAGTTTCTATTTGTGATACAGATATGATGACTTCTTCCAGACAATTCACTCCACCAGAAGGATATCATTGTCAGAGAATGCAAGAGGATAAATTACTCTAAGACTGTTTCGTGTATTGTTGCTGCGAAACACACACACACACACACAGAAGGGATAATTCAACCTGTTAGGCATGTCACTTCTGTGATTTTAAACATACACAGGCCAAAAGTTCCCTCATGCTTAACGTTTATACACCTCTCCTCTAGAGAGAGGATAACTTCTGTTAAGCTGCAGCTTTCTGAATGATCAGTATGAAATAACTGCTTTGTAAACAACTGGACCCCCTTGCTCCACAGAGACTGCTCCTAGGGTGGAAAAGCCATTAAGCGTTAACAACGTCTTTAAGAAAACAAGCCTTCTTCATTTGGGAAGAGAAAATACTAAGAATCCCAGACATAGTCATAGTCATTTTGTGTATCACAAGAAAAAGACCAAACAAATCTCTATTTCAATGTCTGAAAATTTTAATTCTTCCAGCTGTAATGGATCAGACATGAAAGCAGTTTCCAAAAGACTCAAAACTGCAAGTCCTCAGAGTACAGACACATGGATAACAAGCTCAAAGACAGGCATTGCCTCCTCATCTTAGCTAGGTGCACGCTTAGCTAGTAGGCAAGGGGGGGGGAATCTCTCAAACACAAGGCTACCTTAGTATACTGATATCCCCAAAGTCAGGGCTAACTGTGTAAAAACACCCCTGATGAGGGGACATATGGAAAGAAAGCACTCAAGATAGGAAAGAGTGAGTGTAAATAACCAATATAGTGCAAGATGTCTTTTCCTACCTTTCAGAAGAACTTCAGTTTTGATTAGAGACTAAATTTTAAATTAAGCTCTAACAGGCAAGATGTAAACACTGGAACAGAACATTTATTTGTTATGTGTATTTTTGCTTCAAATTCCAGCTGTTGATCCCTATGCTGAATGAAGTTTCCTGCCAGCAGACCCTTACTTCATCCACTTCTAAGACAAGGAATATCAAGTGAAACCTCGCATGTCAAACCATCTATTCACACACAGAACAATAAGTGATGCCCAAAATGACACAAAATAATAACTGTCTGGGTCCAAATAGCTAACTGAGGTAAAAAGTACCTCATCCAGCATAACAAATATACTCCAAACATCTCCTCAAGATTGCAAGGACTTTTCTTCTTAAAGAAGGATAAGAAAGAGTCTAGTACATCTACACAAATCTACGCATGTATATCTACAAATATCTACAGAAGCCCCTGCCAGTCAGACCACCAGCTCAGAAGCTTTCACAGAGCAGCATGTAACAGCCAAGATACTGGAGTTCCGCATGAAAGTTTTATCATCTGACCCACTACAACAGTATCCTCTATCCCTTGCACACATGTATAAATATAGTGATGAACATTTACAGACAGAAGTCAGTCCTTGATAGAAAGAGCAACCATGCCTCTGATAAAGATTCTGAAAAAGACAAGTTACAAATATTGAGCCAGAAATTAGATTAAAAGAAAAAAATATTTTGAAAATGCCAGCATTTCCAGATTATACTGTTACCTTTTCCAATGCATGTTCCAACATTCTTGTATTCATTCATTCCCTTTTTAGTGAAATGACTGACCCACAGATAAATTCAGACTTCACACACTACCCTTTCAGACTAGTTCCTACTCAACTTTCTAGCTGAGGTTTTGTGCCAATGGAGGGAAGTCAGGGCATGTTGTCAATTAGGGATGTGAGCGTGTAGAGCTTTGCCACTCCATGTCTGTAACCAGCTTTAATGTCTCCTTGCTTCCCACAGCTTAGAGCATGCATTAACATTTACCGGGCAATTTGAAATTTGTTCCCTGTTAAAACAGATGCTGCTTTAAAGAGAACTCTTCAGATCACTTTAACACTTCTTTTTTTCAAGGCAAAGCATCAGCATTCCCCTCATGTCAGATCTGTATCAACACAAATCTTCAAAACCGTAGCAGATAAACAGGTATTTAACTGTTGCCCGCTAAGTTTTTCTCCTTTCCCTGATAAGGATCTTGTACACAGACCATCAGGCTTAACAGAAACAGAATAATCTTATGCCCTAGAGAAGCTTACAGCCTAGGTACGTTCTTTAATCCTTTGCATACAGAATGTCAGAAATTTACTAACATTCATACCTGTTTTGTTGCAACACGTTTCTGGAACATGCTGACATTAAAGGAGCACCCAGACATATTTGCT